AGAAGTGCTCAAATTGGATAAAGAGAAATAATTCTTTAATGGGAAGGCACTCTGATGTGACATTATTAATGTCACATACGTGGTCCGTGAGGCGAACGGAAGGAGTACGAAGACGTTGAGGATAACGACGTTCTGCAGGATTGATCGCTGTAGGTGAATGTTGTTGGGGAGTTTCTACAGGAATAGATGTAATATTGGATGGAATATTCGACGAGTTATCATCCTGAGGGGTGGAAATGGGCACAATCGTGTCATCATGATGACTAATGCCGGGAGAGATACTTGATGCAGGTGATAAGTTGGAAGAGGAATCATCAAATTCACAATCAAGGATTTGAGTGTTGATGCTTATGTCGTTAGCGATGGAAGGAGTTTGAAAGTCGTGATATGGAAACATGGTTTCAAAAAATTGAACATTGCGAGAGACATATATTTTGCGAGTGTGCATATCGTAGATGCGGTATCCTTTTTGATTAAAAGGGTAACCGACAAAAATACCAAGTTTGGCTCGTTCATCGAATTTGTGTTGAATGTTCATATTTTTGGAAAAACAGAGACATCCAAACACACGAAGTGATGAGTATGAAGGAGGAGAACCGAGTAAAATTTGATGAGGAGATTTATATTTCAGGATGGGAGTAGGAAGTTTGTTTATGAGATAAGCGGCAGTGAGCACACATTCACCCCAAAAGGAAAGGGGTAATTTCGCTTGGAAACGTAATGCTCTTGCGACGTCGAGAAGATGACGATGCTTGCGCTCCACAACGCCATTTTGTTGAGGGGTTGCAACGCAGCTGCGTTGATGAATAATGCCATGACCATGAAACCATGTTTGGATTTGTTTGGACAAAAACTCCGAACCATTGTCGGAACGAATAGCTTGAAGTTGGGGAAGAAAGATGCCCCCATCGCCGGAATTAATTTTATTAATTTTAGTGTTGAATTGGCGATTGATTTGATTAAAAAAATGAATTAGCATAGTAAATGTTTCAGATTTATGTTGCATGAGATATAACCAAGTACATCGTGAATAATCGTCGACAATTGTTAAAAAATATCGTGATCCATTGTGTGATGGAGTAGAGAATGGACCCCAAATATCGACATGAATTAACTCAAAACAATGAGATGAATATGATGTTCTTGAAGAAAAAGGTAAACGTGATTGTTTTGCACGCGGACAAACGTCACAAATAAAATCTTTATTCGCATTAATATTTGGAGAGTTCTTAACAATAAATTGAAAACGGGAAATAGATGGGTGATCGAGGCGTAAATGCCATAGGTCAGCCTTATTACATTGCTTAGAACTAAAAAAAGAACTTGGTGGATGGTCAACACAATAGTGATCGTTGTCATCTTTATTTAATGGTGGTTCTTCATTCAAGTAGAAGAGTCCATTCCGAGCACTACCCCGACCAATCGTCTTCTTCGTTGCTCGGTCCTGAAATATGCAACCAGAGGATGAGAAAATAATATCACAATGTATTGATTTTGTTAATTGTGAAAGAGATAATAGATTATATTTGAAAGATGGAATGTGATAAACATTCGTGAGTGTAAGTGACGGCGAGCAATGAACATTGCCGATGTGTTTCACGGACGCGTGAGAGCCGTCGGGTAATTGAACAAGTATATTTTTATGAACAGGTGAATATGAAGAAAAATAAGAAAGAGATGTGCATATGTGATTTGAAGCGCCAGAATCAATAATCCAAGAAAAAGGAACACAAGTAAAAGCGGTACCTGCTAAATTCACAGATGATCCCATAGTGTCCTCTTTGGCTAAGAGAGATAGGAGTTTTTGGTATTGTGCGCTTGAGAGTTGAGTAGCGGAAGTAGATGAGAATGATTCAGATTTCTTTGGTGGCTTATTTAGAAAGCCATGAATCTGATAGCAAGTAGCAATAGTGTGACTATGCTTATTGCAATTCTCACAGTACGGACGTTGCCGTTTGCCTTGAGTGCGATACTGCACTTTAGAAGCTTGAAGCGCTTCTGATTCCTCAGCAGGAAGGGGTCGAAAATTAATCTCTTGTTGTTTTTCTTCCTAGCGTACGATGTTATAAATACGCTGAATTGAAGGAAAGGGATCCATGAGGAGAATTTGGCTGCGGACGGCCGAGAATCGGTCATGGACGCCCTGAAGAAATTCCATGGCCCGATCCTGATTTTGTTGATCAATAATACTCTTGGCATTACCGCAGATGCACGGATTGATAGGTGCGATGGAATGGAGTTCATCCCAGAGAGATTTCAACTGAGTAAAATACAGAGATACATACATGCCCTCTTGTTTTAGGACAGAGATAGATTGTTTCAATTGATAGATTTTCGGAGCGTTGGACTGAGATAAACGATCCTTGAGATCGGTCCAGATTTGTGCCGCCGTTTCAGCATAGAGAATGCTAGGGCGAATCTCGGTTGAAACCGAGTTGAGAATCCAGCTTGCAACCATATCGTTGCAGCGGCGCCACTTAGAGATATCATCGGCCTTCTTTGGACAGATTAGGGTTCCATCGACAAACCTGAATTTGTTTTTGGCACGAAGTGCCATTGTTACGGCTCGGCTCCATGAACCATAGTTGTCGACCGTGAGCAGAGGTGTAACAAGGACAGTTGCAGGGTTGTCGGAATGATGGATGACACATGGATCGGTGTTGGAGGTGGTGGCGGATTGATCATTAGTGGGTGGTGGTGGTGGTGGAACATCAGACATGATGATGCGAGTGAGTGAGTGAATTGATGAAGAAGGATTGAAACAGGATGATAAACACAAACTGAGGGATATTAACCAGAGAAAAACTGATACCATATAAGTTCTTGAATATTATATCGGAATTTGTTATATTTATTCTTGTAATGATGTACATATATATATTATAAGAGTACAATGATTAGTCTATAATTGCCTATAATTGTCTAGTCTATAATTGCCTATAATAGAAATCCTATTTTAAATACAATGATACTATTTCCTGATATACTAATTGCCTTGAATGTCTTGATATTTGCTTTGACCTTCTTTAATGTGAATAATATGTGCTTATCCTTAACACAAACATGTTGCATATATGGTTTGATGGATTCATGGAATCCCTTTTGTTGCATTGCTAACTATGATGCTTTAGAAATTTTTATTTTTAACGGGGAATAAGATGTGTATTGCTACTGCCTCTGTTACGTTTTGGGTTGCTGAGAATTTTGCAAAAATAAGAGGAATCATATTTTTCATATTTTGTTATCCGGTTAATAGTTTTCTCTTAAAATTTCATTTTGTACTTATTTTTTAAATTTGAGACATGTAAAAACCTTTATAAATAAACTATTTACATTTTATGCAGGTGGCAATTTGAAGGCATAGTTATCAGAGAAGTTGGAATAAGAGGTGTGCTCTTGGATTAGGATTACAATAAGCAGTTAGAACAGGAGCTATGCATTATGACATAGAGATGTTAACTGGTCCTTCAAACAAGAGGTGTGCTCTTCAATTAGTCTAATTTGTTTATTACGTTTGGAAATTGACTGCTTTGTTTCACAATTGGACTTCACCTCACTGTCTATGTTATAAGGGTTCATGATCCTAACTGGAGCTCTCTCACATGTCCCTATTCATAGTTGTATAGTAGTGTTGATTTGTTGCATATACATAGAATATTGAATATCTTAAAAGAAAAACCTTGATATCTTCTCATTCCTACTTACAATTAATAATTGTGTTTAATTCCACTACTATTGTTGTTAATTCATTTTTTTATCATGTCAATTTGATTAATGTCTTATAAACTTGTATTATTTCCAATGAAATATAAACAATAGGGTTGTGTGGATGCAGCAGATAAAAAACCAGAAGATGAAAATGTGGATTCTTACATGTCTATTGAAGATGGAAATTCTGATCATTGAACTATGCCTTTTAAAAATCTGAAACGAATTTCAGGAACAAACAGTAGAAATGAAAATAAAGGTAAAATATTCATGGACTTATGCTAAGAGTACTATGTCTTTATCCAATCTATACAATGTGCTTCATTTTCAAATTATCCTTTTTTATATTGATTTTTAGAGACAACAGATATGAGCTCATAACAAATTTTTATTTTAGCATAGTATAGTTTTAAAATCTTCTTGGTAAGTTAACTTTGTGTAGTTTCAAATGAGTCGTTGTTGTAAGAGCGGCTTATGATAATAGAGGCTTACGTATTGCATACCATAGACACTTTCATACTATTATATCTTGTTAGGTAGTGTTGAACCGCATATAACGAGATTATTATGTGGCCTTTAATCTTATTCCTATTGGAGATTATAAATACTTATGTCTAACACAAGGATTTCTAACCATTTGATAGAATTTTCAATCAAAGAAGTTAGGTGCCTTTACTCGAGCAAAAATAGGGTTTTGGCCATCCATTTTTCATTAAAAATGGAAAATTTATGGAAACTGTTGGACATGACAATATGGTTGTTCAAGCTAATTAACCTCCAAATTTATTTTAGCTTATCCCTTCTTAATCATGGATTGGCCTGTTCCTTGTGTTCCAAACTAATTGTACTTTGTGATAACATGTTTTTATTTAGAAGATGGACACTATTAATGATGGATTAAATACCTATTACCCCCTACCATATGAGCGTGTTTTGATTCCCCCCATTCAAAAAATTTCCCCACCCCTCAACAAATATAGCTTCCAGCATAAAATACCCTGATGGGCTTTTTATCAAAGACTCTATGAATCTGACCTACATGGACAACATCTCTTAGCTGATTATGTTATTAATTGACACACTAGAGTGTTTATAAAAGTCATTGATGGGATATAGGATTATAACTTTCTCATTTCACCCCCTTGAAAATCTAGGGTTTGTATCAGTCAAAATAGCAATCGGGGATGACGAAGAGACGAGCCACCATGATGAATAAGAAGAAGTCCAAGCAATCGAAGCAAGCGAAGGAAGCTACTCAAGCAAGTCAATCTAAGCGATCAGTTCAACCGGAGATGCATGAAGAAGAAGTTGAGGCTTCTGAAACTCTAAAGGTGAGTTTTTCATCGTCTGTGTCAAACTAACAAAGTGTAGATGCATGTTAGGTTTTAGCTGTTTACGTTTCTAATTTCATAATAAGCAAATCTTCAATGTTGTCTTCCACCACGGAGGGGGATTTGTGAGGTTGAATGATGGGGTGATGATATATAGGGGAGGTATGTCGACCTTAGTTTATGGGACCCACATTGATAAGTTGACAATGGTTACGGTTCCTAGAATGTTGACTGGGTGGGGTTACACGCAAGGGACATATAGGAGATGGATGAAGATTATTGAAATAGATGCTAACTTTTTTCAGATTAGGAAGGATGATGATTGTTACAATTTCGCAGCATATGCATGTGCCAATGAGGTTGATGGGGAAATGTTTGTGGAGCACGATGTAAGAGGTGTTGAAGTGTCAGTAAGAAGTCCTAGGTGTGTGAATGAGATACTTGATATGGATAGATGTGATGAAGAGGGAGTAGAATGTATGGGCGATAGTGCGGATGAACGCGCCACTGTTACCTAAGATGGGTTTAAAGGTATTGATGTGACTATACCTATTAATTAAGCACCTTCAATATGGGGTTATTTGAGTGGTTCTAAAAAGAAAAAAAATGGAAGATGATGATGAATATGTGAGTGATGACCTAGATAGCTCAGATCCGAATATTTCAGATGATGAGAAAGTCCCAAAGTTTGAAAAGTTTAAGAGAGAACATTTCGATAAGAATTTTAAATTTGAGTGGGATATGGAATTAAATTTCCTAGGTGACTTTAGGGAGGAAATACGTGAGTGGTCCGTATTAAATGGTAGGGAAATAATCTTTTGTGAAAAACGAGAGCTACATGGTAAGGGTCAAATGTATGGCCAAATGTGGATTTTTAATACTTTGCTCAAAATTGGGCCATATGCACACTTATGCTATAAAAACCATGTTTGACAAGCATACATGTTCTAGGGTTTTAGATAAAGGATCTGCAAACTTAAGGTGGGTGGCTAAAGTTGTAGTGGAAAAAATGCAAATATCTGAGAGTGTTAGGATCTATGATATAATTCAAGACATGAGACAAAAAATTTATGTGGGAATCATTGTTGGCAGGGCATGGAAGGCAAAGCTTATTGAAAAGAGAACAATAGAAGGGGATGCAGATAAGTAGTATGCAAATTTAAGAAGATACGCAGTTGAGTTACATCGAGTGAATTCGGGAAACACTTTGAGTATTAATGTTGACAGACCAAGTCCTTCCATACAACCAAGGTTTGGGTCTTTTTATTTTTGCTTTGATGGATGTAAGAAGGGTTGCATTAATGATTACAGTCCCTTTGTTGGGGTAGATGGTTTTCATCTAAAAACAAAATATGGGGGTCAATTGCTAATTGTTGTGGGTAGGGACCCTAATGACCAGTACTTTCCTTTAGCATTTGGAGTGGTTGAGACTGAAACAAAGGACAGTTGGAGATGGTTTATTGATTTTATTATGGGAGATATTGGGCAAGACAAGAGATATGTCTTTATATCTGATCAACAAAAGGTGTGTGTTATTTTCTCAATATGTTAATAATTTACACATTTTATTATGTACTGATATCAATATATGTTTCAGGGTTTAGTTGTTGTTTTTGAAGAAATGAATGAAAGGATAGAACATAGGTTGTGTCTAAGGCATCTCTATGCAAATTTCAAAAAAAAAAAGATTTGGAGGTGCCTCTATGATAAAAGATTTGATGATGGGGGCTGAAAAAGAAACCTATTATTAGGGATGGTTGAAAAAGATAAATGAGTTGAAGCAAGTAGACCCAAAGCCATGTAGTTGGCTAATGGGAGTTCCTCCAAAAAGTTGGTGTAAGCATGTTTTCATCTTTTATCCTAAATGTTATGTTAAAATGAATAACATTGCTAAATCTTTTAATGCAACAATCTTAGCTGCTGGGGATAAAGCAATTATGACCATGGCATAGTGGATTAGAAAATACTTAATGAGTAGGTGCTCAACATCTTCCATGAAACTTGAAAAGTGGTCACACAAGGTGATGTCAATTCCTAGAAAGAGACTAGATAATGAGGATGTTTTGAGTGGCCATTGGTTTCCTACTTGGGCAATGAATGAAATTTTCCAAGTAACTCATTCTTTCAACACTCAGAAACTTATAGTTGACATTGCAAATAGGTCCTATACATGTAATTTCTGGGAGTTGGTGGGCATTCTTTGTAGGCATGTTGTTGCAGTAATAGGTTTTAGGCAACAGAACCCTGGGGATTTTGTTGATGAATGTTATTCTAGAGAAAATTATAGCCTCTGTTATGGTTTTGTTGTTAGTCTAATTAATGATCAGGAAATGTGGCTTGAGGTAGAATCATAAGAGCTTTTACCTCGTATGTACAAGAAAGGACCACGCAACCCAGAAAGTTAAGGATTAGAGAGAGTGGTGAAGATGGTGTTAGGAAAAGATTACCAGGTGTGTCATATAGGTGTATAAAATGTGACAAGTTTGGTCATAATGTCCAGTCATGTAAGAGCACAACACTTGGTCCAAATGGGCTCAAGAGAAAGGTATAATTGGTGTTATATACTTATTTTCTTTGACTGGTATGTATATGATTTGACTGGTATATATATGATCTCACTTCACCTGTATTGTATTTTGTTAGAAAAAGGTCAAGCCATCGTCAACTTCTACAGTGGCTCCAACTGAAACTGATGCAACAACTCCAAATGTTACAATGGCTACAACTCAAACTAATGCAACAGTTCCAACACAACCAAATGATGACACTCAACAATCTGACTACATTGGTGACATAGTTGATGATATCATTTCAAGCATTCCTGACATCAACACATCACAAGCACCTGCTGAAGAAGTCATAGTTGCCAAAAAGAAAAAGAAAAAGAAGGGGAAAGAGGTGATGCCAATGAGAAGGAGGTCAAGTGATGGGATTAAGATCAACTGGTTTAAAAAAGCAAAACCATTCACAAGGCCTGGTTCAAACCAAGACCAGCCTATGTTTCTAACAGATGAAAAGGGTGGTACTTTGACACGGGAAGGAAGTGGATCTCAATATGCAAAGAAGAAACTTAGGAAGTAGTATGTTATGCATTTGTTATGACCAAGAAACTTATGTATTTTCTTATGGCTTATGCCTTTTGTAATGGCTAACACTCCTTTTGTTATGGCTTATGCCCTTATGTTATGACTTCTACACTATGGTATGGCTTATGCCCTTGTATATTGAATTATGCCTTGTGTTATTACTAAATTATTGCATTTTTAGTTAAAACTACCTTTGTTGATTGACATAAAAAGGAAATCTTACATATTAACTCAAGAAGAGAAATGTCATGTAAAACATCATATTACTTAAATAATCAAACTTAATTCTACATTCATGATATTGTGTATCAAAGCTCCTAATTCATCATTCCAACTAAAACCAACATAACATCATATTACATAACTCATCAAACTTAATTCTACATTACACTTCTTGTTACATATACTTGTACATTAATGCCGACACAAAGCAAGACAACCATAATTTCATCTTCAATTGGAAATTTTTCTTCTGCATAATACCAGTCTTCAACTTGGCCTTTTCTAGTTTTTTTGCTGTCATTTCAAACTTCACCATTGCCACCTCACAGTTTTTGCAACCAAAGTCATTATTTGTGCATTCATTCATGGAGCGGGCAACTTCATCATCCCAAATAAACAACTCACAGTAAATCACCATCTGCATACACAAACAAATTATTGGCATAACAGATCTTCCCAAATAGAGATGTAATTCGCGAAACTCGTGGATTGAAACACTTACCTCTGTGTTACGACATTTCCAAAACTTCCTATTCATGTTATGTACAGTATTTGCGACCGACATCGTCATTGGACGACGGCATCCACACCTGAGAACGGTTGAAATCTCGTACAAATTATTGCTTCCACAACTATTACTTGGCCCCATTTGATCGGTTAGGGTTTCATACAGAAAAAATCAATCGATGATGGAATAAGCAATCGATGATGGAAGAAGATGAGAACGGACGCATGGATGAAGAATAAGAAGTTGGAACCCTAAATGATACAAAACTCCAACGTGTCAATTAATAGCACAGTCATCCAAGAGATGTTGTCCATGTAGGCCAGATTCATAGAATCTTGATAAAAAAAACCCATCATGATATTTGCCTTGGAATCTATATTTGTTGAGGGGTGGGGAAAAAATTTAAGGGGGGACAAATCAAAACACGCTCGTATGGCAGGGGGTAAAAGATATTTAATCCTTTAATAATTATGTTACTGAAGAAACACATTCACTTCTCATCACAGATGTTAGGTTTAGACCAGGTTTAACTAAGTTTCTGACATCTTCCTTTGATATATCAGAGTATGGGATGCATAAAAAGTAAGTTGTTACTTGTCACTTTCTTCTTGTCTTTATTGTCTTCGTGTGTATATTCATAACTTCTAGAAAATGTGTGTATGGATGGACACAGGTGCTTAATATGGTTGTAGCTGACATGTTTCAAGGCCATTCTATTGATGAAAAGAAGCTAGAAGATGTTGTTGACACTTTACCTCATGTATTTGGTGGGGTTCTGCCTGATTGTTTAGTAGCATGCTTTTTCTATCAAGGTTGTGTTTTGGTAGGTTAGGTGATTTTGTTATGTTGCTCTTTTTTTGGATCAAACTGTATTGAATACTCATTGGTGATAGCATACTAATGTGATTTATAGAAACTTAATATGTGATATATATTTTAGGACAAATACTTCATAAGTTGTGAGAGAACAAATCCATGATTCCATGTGTTTTATTGTTATTGGCATTTGTGTGTGATCACTGACTATCTGACATTGAGAGTTAGTACTTGCAAGAAAATTTTCACAACTATAAAGTCGTGTCAATTAGTATATTGTGCATATACTTTCCAAAATGATAATGCTAATATAGGTTTAAAAAAATTCATAAATAAAAAATATGTATTGAAAAAAAATAGACTAAAAACTTTTATTCAAATTGATGTACAATTTTTAAAATAAATTTTCTATGTTTCACATAAACTTTTTATTTACAAGTTTATTAGCATGTATTTTTAAGACATGTATTAATATTACCCTTATTGAAATTAGTTAAGTTGATTAAATATAATAAAATAAAAATATATTAGTGAAAATATTTTAAAAAAATGAATAAATACTTAAAATATGACATTTAATATAAGGCAAAACGAGTATCAAAACAAAAATAATGTTTATATGGGGGAAACAATTCTATAATTGATCAAAATAGTTTTATATATGAAAAAATTATATTTATGATTCGAGTGTTATTCTTAATTTTTATTTTTTTTCAATAAGTTATACTTATTACAATTTGCAAAAAAAAAATCGTATTCAAAACCATTTTCCGTGCAAAAACATATTTCGTGTGTACGCACGGATTTTCAATTGTTTATGAATAATAAAATATATGAATGACATTTTGGTCTATTTTATGAATAATGTTTAACTAGGGGTTTTAACTATACTAAAATATCATAATTTACATTTAAAATAGTCTTTGATTTTTTTAAATTTTTTATTATATATATGTTATATTTCATTTTTTATTTTAAAAATGTAAAATACGACATACAATTAAATATATATCATAAAACATAACATTAAAAATAAATCAGAAAACATAATATTAAAAATGATTTAGTATCATTTATTAATTAGTTAATAAAATTATTTTGAATATTTTTATAAATTTTTTTAAACAAAAATAATATTTATATACAGAAAATAATTTTTTTTTTTTTTAAATTAATGAATGGATCTTAATTTTTTTTTTTTGTAAACATGGATAAATTTACTATTGATTCAAATATTTGTAAACGAGAAAAAATCTATTATTGAACTAAATATTTTTATATATGAAAAAATCTATTATTGATCTATATATATTTTTATTTTTTAATCTTTTATTTAAAATAAATATATTATGTAAACAAATGCACGTAACAGACCAGAACCCATGCGTACGCACGAGTTTGTTACTATTAGAGAAAATGTGAGGGTAAGGTAGGAATATCTTAATGGGAAAATTAGGGTTTAATATAAAAAGGGAGTTAGGAGAAAAGAGTTATATCAGTGCGTAGAAAAAGTGCAAAGAGACAAGAGAGGTAAGGGAGACAACGAGTTAGCTAGAGCTTGAAGGAGAAGAACATCATTCAATTCAAAATTTTATTATAAATTAAGTCAAGGGAGAGAACAACCTTAATAAAGAGTATATGCATGAGAGGTAGGGTAGAGGAGTCTTTAACCTCCAATAGGATATTTTATATTAATTAAATTTAAGTTTTTGTGTTGTTATGGTGTTGTTGGCTGAATTGATGATGAACTTTCGTGTATGATTATGTGTGATTTTACTGTTTTGAAATTGTAATATTTTCCATCATTGTTGAAGATTGAAGCTTTGGATTTAATATGTTTCGAGAAAATTTAGAATTATGTGTTAAATTTTTGTTCTAAACATTAGATAATTGTAGTACGTCAAATTTTGAGATCAAGGGTTTTTACGGAATCGAAATTGGATGTGTGAAAGGCCTCCAACAATGAAAATTGTAGAAATTATACATTTTGTCCTTTTGACAATGACACATATGTCGCGTAGGTCGACGCATAAGTCTCATAGGTCGACTCATGCTCCCTAAAGGTCGGCGCATGCTGGACAGAATTTGAAAAATGGTCGTTTTGACCTAAGTTGCATCCCCCGATGATTTTGGCCATAACTCTTGTTTCGTAAGTCCAAATAAGTTGTCCTTCGAAGCGTTGGAAAATTAACGTGAATTACTACTATCAAAGGGAATAGTTTTCAGGGGCTGAATTTGTTGCTATAACATGATTATTTGATGTGGATTGCATGGATTGGTGATGTTATGTCAGCAAAGATGAAAATTAATAACTTTGAAATTATTTAAGCAAGTAAACGGTGATTGGTGCAAGTTTTAATGTTGTATTGAGAATGATTTATGAGTTATGGTGATGTTATAATATATTGAGTATGTTGAATTGTAATTGTTATGTTGTTGTATGGATGAGGATATACTTGATTGAGAAGAATTAATATATGCTTGAGTTGCACTGAGTAATATTGTGTTATGTATATATGAATTGTTGTTGTGTGGTAATCCAAAAAGAGGATTATGAGAGTTTTCAGTGTATTATGTTAAGATCATAGAGGCATATTAACACATTAATATTGATGATACGATCATTTATTATTTGAGTTGTGTTAAGAGGCATGTTCGCTAGTTCAGAGAAAGAACTAATGACTTGTCTCAAGCTTAGATAGGGGGATTGGAGCTAAGATAGGGGCCCATGGATTCAGAGAGGGGACTCAGTTCCTGAGAGAATCAAATATTGAGTTGGTACCACATGTATATGCATCAAGTTGTATAATTGAGTTGCATTACATAAATGAGTTGTATACATTAGGGATGTCAATGGGGCGGGGCGGGGGCGGGGGGACACTTGCCCATCTTTTTTCCCGCCATCAAATTCATTCCCCGTCCCCGTCCCCGATCTCCGTCACGGGGGAATTTCTATCCCCATCCCCGTTCCCCGCGGATCCCCGTTCTCCGCGGGGATCCCCATAGATCCTACATTTATTCATTAATATTTTATTTTTTTAAAATGTTTATATTTTCTATAAAAATAAAAAGCACAAAGAATTCACATATTTATTATGTTATTAAAAAATACTAGTATTTGACATTTATTATTTTTTATTAAAAATACTAATGGAACACAAAATAATAATATTTTTTTTATAAATTTCTATAAAATGCTATAAAATTCAACAAAATGAACTATAATACTTTTTAAAGTAACAATATGCCTAAACAACTAAAAAAATCCAACAACATAATTATGCTTAAAAAACTATACTTCATCAAAACTAATAAGGGATAATTATAAAATTTAGCATCATGAGTATGCTTGAAAAGCTAAAAAATACTTCATAATAAGTCAACTAAAAGCAAAAGTCAACATATCTCTATTTGCTCAATTGATAACACACGTAAAGTAGAAATATCAAAATACTTAAAACAAAGTTACATATAAATAAACTAAAATATTAAGCAAAATACATGAATATTTACATTTCTCTCTCTTAATAAATACATGAATATTTATTTATTTATTTTTATAAATAAACATAAAGGAAATGACTAAAAAATCTAATCTAAAATATATATATTAAATTAACTATATTAAAATAATAGGCGGGGCGGGGTCCCCGCGGGGCGGGGGGTGTATTCCCCGTCCCCGTCCCCGAAATGCTCTCGGGGGAATTTTTCTCCCCATCCCCGCCCCCACGGAGGAAAATTCCCCATCTTTGGGGCCCCGAACGGGGCGTTCCCCGCGGGGATCCCCATTAACAGGTCCAAACTGACATCCCTAGTATACATATCATTTATTTGTGTGTGATTGATGAGTTGGGTGTGAAAATGTGTTGTGTGATGTTGCATGCAATTATTTGTAAAATATGTGTGTGTTTTATACTTTACCTTGCAGTATGTAGTGCTTACTTTATTAATGTGATTTCTCACCCTGTTGTTATTGTTGGGGTATGTGCTCCTCCTTGAAGTACAGGTAAGCAAGTAACTGAGTAGCCGCTTAGAGCAGAGGATGGCGCGTGGTTGTTCTTCTTTTATTTTTCATTTTGCGTTTTAGATCACGTGCTCTGATTTGTAACACTGGATGGGGCAAACGATGTCCTTTTATTTTGTTTATGTTAAACGGAGAGTTGGATGTTATACTCACTTTGTTGTGATAATTATGTTGCTTGATGAGATTTTATCGTATTTCATTTGAGTTTAATAAAGTTGATTCATGAGACTTATATATTTGCAAAGCATGTTTATCTTTTTAATTCTGATGCGATGATATTCTAAGTGAATGTGAACATGCGATGACAGGTGTTAAATGTTTTATTTTAAATTTCAAGTGTTGCGGAGGAGATGTGTTTGATGTTGAATTACATCCTAAGTGTGAATATGTGTTTTCTACATGTTTTATTTTATACTAATAAACACGAGATTTTAGGGTGTTATAAGATGCATCTATGAATCAACATTTTATTCATAAGGAGATGCATCTCCGGATCAATTTTTTTATATACTAAGAATTTTTCACCATTTTTATTTCTATTATGTGTGGAAAAAGTGCGTTCGGAGATGTGGACATTCTAATTTTTTTCAACATGGTATGGAATAAACCATAAGGGTGGAAAGGGCATTTTCCAAAATTTAAGATGTCTTACAAAAAGAGTGAGAGCAAAAAAAACGACCAAAACTCTACTGCAAGATATTTTTGGAGTTTATAGTTTATAAATTTACAAATTTATAGTTTACTTTATTAGCTTATAGCTTATTTTTTATATGCTAGTTTAACTTATAATTCATAATTTTTCTTGCCCCTATTATTTTAACTAAAATCCACTACTATTTTTTATAATTTATTTTAATTTAAAATAAAATAATATATATATAAAATATGTTTTATATCATTTTAATTTATCAATTAATTGAACCGTTAATCTTATCAAACATTTTAACTAGTTTATTAACTATAATTTATCGGTCATCAATTATAAAGTATAAACTATCCGATATTAGACATGAGTTATAAATTATTAACGAACTTATTAGTCAATCAATTATCAATTATAAAGTATAAACTATTTGTTATTAGTCATAAGTTATAAATTATCAATTAACTTATTAGTCAACCAATCATCAATTATAAAATATAAACTATCAATTATTAGTTACAAACTATAAACTATCAACTAACTTATCAGTCAACCGTTATTTTATTTAATAGAGTACTCCCTCCAATCTCATATATATATATATATATATATATATATATATATATATATATATATATATATATATATATATATATATATATAAATTCACCCTTTAAGAAAAATGTTTAAACCCATTTAATTCTTACATTTTTTTTAATTTTATCCCTACTTTTTATCTTGGAAATCGTTAAAAACATATAAATGTGAAAAAAATAAGATTATATTTAGAATAATAATATTGAATGTAAAAATTATTAATGACTTTTTATTATATTTAAGATCATAGAAAAAAATATATTACTTATATTTGAGACGAAAAAGAAGTAATAAATAATTGTATGATGGTAACAAAGAGGATCTCCCTTGTAGGTAGGATGGTAAGACATTCGAACTAAAAAGATTATGCTTAATTATTATTAACTCTCTCCAAAAATAAGTATAATTGTGACATTTAAAAAAAATCATCTATTTTAATATGTGTCGCCTATTTTTTAATGCAATTTTTTCATCTTATTATTATATACTTTATTTTCAGTTTATTATTCTCTCATATAAGTAATTAATTAAACATAATTTAGTAATATCTATATTCTCTTTTATATTTATCATATTTTTCTAATCGGCCTTAAAATACTCAAATACAATATTTAATTTGAGGAACATAATAGTAAAATTGAAAATGATTTATTTGTTTCGTATTTTGTCACTAATATTTTGTTTGTTTGTTTGTTAAATTAGTTGATATATTCACTAATAGCATAAATCACAAGGCTTTTAAGCATTTCTAACAATAACAATAATTTTAATTTTGGATGGCTCTCTTCATTAATTACCGTTTTACTTAATTTGGCGCGCGAAAAAAGCTCGATCTTCCTATTACAATATCCCAACTTTACACCATAATAAAATCTCATCAAAACCAATAATATAGGAGAAAATCTAGAAGAAAGAAAACACCAAAATCTTTTTCTGAAATCTCTGATCATGGCATTCCCTTTTGGAGCCCTTATGACTTCATCATTGCTCTTTCTTGTTGTTCTTTCATTTCCTAATGTGCATGCAACAGGCGTCAGCTCCTCATGGAAACGTGCAGCTCACAATGTTATTGCATCAAACCATCTGATTAATGTTCCAAAAAATGGTGGCCGCAAGTTTCGAACTGGTCCATGGAAGAAAGCACAAGCTACTTTCTATGAGGGAGGTGCTGGATCATATGGTATGAAATAATACATTATTCGACTCCCTTCTTTGTCCAAACTGAATCCTTCATAAGTCGTTCGATCTCAATCACATGATTCGTCAAATCTTAATCAGATAACTATTAAAATTTAAACATCAGACTGTGAGAAATTTTACAAAAACCCCAAAAAAAAATAACGAAGCGAACACGGTGTAAAATGCAGATTTTAATTTTTGCTCGCTTTACAAAAAATGAGAGTCGGACAAAACAGACATACTCATCAGAACAAATCCGTTTTACCACCACTATAGTCGAGTCATGAATTCACTTCTATATAATTATTTTAAAAATTGCTAAATTGTTTAGAGACAAAGAGCGATAAGAAATTCGTGAATAGAGTTAGAATGTTACATTAAAAGCAACCATATGTACATATGTTTGTTTACCAACGTTTTTGAGATAAATTTGTGTGGTCAAATCAACTATTAGACTAATCTAATAACTCATTTGAGATAAATTTGTGTGGTCAAATCAACTATTAGACTAATCTAATAACTCATTTCTTGGAGAAAAAGGATATCAAGTGTCGATGTCTCTCCAAGCGATTGAGTTGTATAAAGCCTAAATTTTTATACAAAATATCAATATCTCTCCGCACAATTTTGGGTTGTATGAAACCTAAGTGTTGAAGTAATCTACTCGCGATATATTTTCACGGTCAAAATTTGAACTTAGGATATTTGATTAAGTTGGAGAAAAAAAATTGTATGATGGGGATAAAGATTAGAAAGTCATTAGACTCGAGTATATAGGGGATTAATATTTATCTCCCTCCAAAGAGCTCTTATACATACATATATGGTTTTAAATTTCTTTAGGGAGATTAAATTTGAAGTTTGATAATGTAGGTGGAGCCTGTGGATATGATGATGTGGTTAAAGATGGTTATGGCCTAGACACAGTAGCATTGAGCACTGTTTTGTATAAAAAAGGTAAAACATGTGGTGCGTGTTATGAAATCAAATGTGTGGACAGTCCAGGGTGTAAAGGGAAATCTTCTATTACTGTGACGGCAACAGACATTTGTCCTCCCAATTATGGCCAACCAAGTGACAATGGAGGATGGTGCAACCCACCACGACAGCATTTTGATTTAGCTAAACCTGCTTATCTTAAAATTGCTGACTACAAAGCTGGCATTGTGCCGATAAAATATCGCAGGTAACATACATGCTCAATTTATTCCCTTTTTTTATCAATCAACAGTGCTTAATTTCATAAATTGCTATAAACTCAGGGTACCGTGCAAGAGAAAGGGAGGTATTCGATTCACAATCACAGGGAATCCTTACTTCAACTCAGTAAAAGTATCAAATGTTGGAGGAGCTGGTGATGTGGTAGCAGTATACGTAAAGGGTGAAGACAAACTGAAATGGACACAATTGAAGAGAGATTGGGGTCAGAAATGGGAGACTAATGCCATGCTATGTGAAGAGACATTGACCTTCAGAGTGAGGACAAGTGATGGAAGGATCTCTACATCAAAGCGTGTTGCCCCCAAGGGTTGGCAATTCGGTCAGACTTTTGTAGGCGAAAACTTGGGTAGGAAGTAATAATCTTAATTCACATCATTTAGTTATTATAATCATAATTTGACTAACAAGTAGTATTAATGGCTGAGCTTTTTTTAGCTTTGTAGTCAGCTTAATAGTAATGTAATCATGGTAATGATTCATTCGTTATATTTTTGTGAGACATGTGAAAATTATAATGTATGAACAAGTTTCTAAATGTAAATAGATTAATCAATGTAATAATATAAGCAAAACGGTGTTCAGATCGTTCTCTTTTTCTCTTATGGGTTTTTCTTAGTGTCCTACCATTTAACAAATTCATTCACCAGACTAGAGAAAAATGTAAACTAGAAGCAAAACTAAGGAAAATTTTACTCACCAACAGGGTGAATTAGCCCTGAGAAAACTATTAACTTAAATTTTTATATAAATTTCAATTATTACACATAAAACAGCTTTGAAGTACAAACCTTTTCTAAGCAACCTGCATCAGTAATAATAGAATACTTGGAAAACCTTGCTTCTCAAATGAAGATATCCACTTCAGATCAAGATAACGCGCATATTGACACATCAATCTTCTTGCAAAAGGAATCACGTGGACAAGTTATGCTTTTCTGGGGATCAAACTTCTATTATCATTATCTTTTCACTAAAGGAGGAGTATGTGACAACTTTGCTCTGAATCTGCAATTCTTGAGAGATTAATTTTAGCTCAGTGGTTCAAATACCCATATCACAAACATAATTCAGCTCAAGATCATGTCCAAAACAACAAAATACTTTATGTCTTCTTTTTCTTCTTCCGCAAGAATTCTCCGGTATCTGATCTGTCTTGTAAACGTTTGGATTGTTGAGCACGTATCTCAAGCAGTTTTGATCTTGCATCTTGGAAAAGAGCATCTGATCTTGAAGCCAACAATTGCTGAAAAGATGATTAAAAAATTGAATTAGCTTTACTATCAATGGTGAGCAACAGATAAGAAAGAGTTTTATACAAACCTGGATATGATCCATGGCTGCAAGGTTAAAACCAAAGACATCTTTCCAAACCTGACACAAGGTTCAAACAAGAAGTTTGTCAAGGACACATTCCATAAGGGTTGAATAACAGAAATATTTAATTTAAAAAACCTTCTGTCTAGCCACGTGCCATCTTTTACAAGACAACCACAATATCACAAATGCACAAGAGTTGAAATAATGTCCATCAAAAGTACCACAGAAAATATCCAAAATAAAATAGGCAACCATGCACAAATTTATACATTCCAAAAATATTTTACAAAATCCCTATCAGAATTGCCCACTACAAAAAAAATACTATTTCTATATAATTTATTAAATAATCTAAGGCAAGTGAGATTTTAAACTAAGATTCTGTTTGAGAATATATTTTTTGAGCTTATAGCTTATAAGCTTATATGACAATAAAAGACCTGTTTGGTAACAATCTTTTCATCACGAACTTATAGCTTATGTTACTCGCTTATATAGCTTATGTTTCAGACGCTGTTTTAAATAACGTTTTAGCTTATAGCTTATAATTTTTTCTTCCACTTTTGCCCTTGTTATTTTAACTAAAACCCACTACTATCCTTTAATTTAAAATAAAATAATTATATATTAAATGTCTTTTATATCATTTTAATTTATCAATTAATTGAAACGTAAATTTTACCAAACACTTCAATTAGCTTATCAGCTATAAGTCATCAGCTAAAAGCTATAAGCTATAAGTCATCAGCCATCAGTCAATCGTTATTTTTCCAAACAGAGCCTAACAATATAAAGCACATTTTTTAAATACAAAACCAACTTTTTTGGTAACAGATTTAATGTTCAATGATGTTTTAACAACTAGACCAGCATTAAAGTATTGATGCTGATCATGGGTGAATTGTGATAACAGATTTAATGTTAAACAATGTTTTAAAAACTAGACCAGCATTCAAGTATTGATGTTGACCATGGTTGAAATGGGGAAAGGATTGTTTCCCAGTGAGTTAATTCACTGGAGAGACAGCAGTGCAAATCACCACCATCAAATTTTCATCCATCTTACACTATTTTGTTTTTAAATATTTTTGGATCTTTCTCTCCCCTCAATTAGGCTGGTATTTCACTGGATATGAGTTTCACCGGAGAGAATCATCTCCCGTTGAAATGTGATCAAACGGGTGTTTCTTAAATGTATATTTTAAATATTGTAAAATTTATAAAATAGTATATATTAAATGAAAAATTAACACAAAAGGTTAATAAAAATGCAGACCTAATCAAATTTAAATTAACCAAAACAATTATCATATTGTATGAGTACTAAGATGAATAAAATATTTTATAAAACTTGCACTAAAAACCTATGAAACACAGACTCCGACACATATACCGGAACACGACACGGACACTCCGACATGGATAATATTAAAAACATAGAACACCGACACCACTACATATACGATTGTTTTTGAACTTTATTTATTCATCTAATTTTAAAAGAGTTAAAAAATCCATCAAAATTATTGTCTTTAATTAACACTGTTTCATTACATGTTTAACCCTCTATGATGTGTGTCTTAAAAATTTTATAAGGTGTCTTAAAAAATTTATAAGGTGTGTTCAAGCAAAGGAAAAACAAATTCTTTTTTAAATACTTGTCTAAATTGTTGGACATGTGTTGTATGAGTGTCAAACGGGTGTCGGACACCGATTTGAAGAGTGTCGAAGCGAAGAAAATAAATCATTTATTTGAAGACATTTGTCTGCCTTTTCCGACACTTGTTTGACTTTTCCGACACTTGTTTGACTTTTCCGACACGTGTCTTACAGGTGTCATACAAGTGTCGGACACCGACGCGTATCAAACACCACGAGACGCCTACTGCTAGAGGTGTCCGTGCTATATAGCTAAATACCCTAGCATATTTACCTTGACTCGTTCATAGAAAATGTCACCAAAAGCAGTTAAGATAGGCCTAGCAGATGGTGTTGCAAGCAACTGATTGTAATGTGTCTGCAACAGTAGTGTGCCTATCCGGCAAACAAGCTCAACCTGCAATTGTCAGGAATAGATAAATACTCAGCTTGCAAAAAATACTTTAAGCAGATTTTCATAAACCAGCTATTATAATTATTATTATAGGAGAAATACTTGAAGAACGGTAAAGTTTAGAAGGACAAGTAACCTTATCAGAATACGAAGTCCATTCTTTCAAGTATGCCAGAAGCTTCAAAGCATCTGAAAACGGTAAAGCCTGCATAAATACGATAAAATTGATGTAAACAGTCTTTCTATAAAAACTAAAACTAGGTAAGGATTGCTTCTTTTTTTTAGTGGGTGGAACACTTCTTCATGAAACAAGTCTATCAAACATTTTCCTTATACTTTTCAATTATAAATTTAAGGTAAGAACACCGACACCTCTTAAACCTCTGGCCACTGCACTAATACCAGGTGCACTGATGCACATATTGTAGACAACATAATATAATATGAAGAAAAAACTTCATAGATATCCAAATTTTTATATAAAAAAGACAGCCTAGTAACAGGGTCTAGAGAAGGGCCTGGTCCATTGTGGATGGATTTAACGTAGGTAGCCATATATCCATTAATAAGTTAGGTTGTCAATCCTGGACTGCAGCGGATAGCGGATAGCGGATTGCGGCCGGCTCCATGACGGGAAGAGGTATTAGGTATAGCACATTGCAGAATGGCTGATATTTGAATATTTTATTGCAAAACTATAATAATGACCCGCTACACCTATGCAACTATACTGCAAATGTACTGGGGAGCTTTCTGGAAGCCACCAGCAACTTTTCCATGAAATTGGCACTGTCTGCCGCTATTGACAACCTAGCATAGTAAGGTGCTTATAGCGTGATTCATACACATGACGTAAACCTAATCATGGAGACTGCAAGTTTAATTATTGTATCAAGACTTCCTTGTAACTTAAATCATGATCAATGTTTAAATAGTGCTGTGTTCAACTTACACAAAAAAATAATGAAAGCATTAAATTAAGCAAGTTACAGTTCAGACATACACACGTGCATATTCAATATTAACTGAAATGTATAACCAATAAAAAACAATAAACTGACATAATAAGAGATAAAATCAACATTAACTAAAATGCACCCTCGCATATTCTTCTTTTTCACATATTCAATATTAACTAAAACGTAAAACCAATCCACACATAGTATCAATTATATATTAAAAATGATAATAAGAGATGAACTGAAATGTATAACCAATTACTTCTTTTAGAGTAGTGTTGATGTAATTTTAAATAGCGGGGAGAAATCACAACATTTGAACTGTTTGGCTCTGGACAAGTTCACAAGCTAAATAAGAGATGTAAATATATTATTACTGTGCTACAGAATAATTAACATAATATAGTTGGTTAGAAACTTTATGAAGATTAATGCTACATTACAGATCAAAGCCAAATTAACTTTCATCATAGTGTCATATAGAGAATGAAGGAACTAATACGACATTATAGGAATTAGGTTTGTGATCTTCCGATGAAATTATTAAGAAACAAGATTAATTAGGTTGCTAACACTAATGAAAGTTAGAATGGGCCCAAAGAAAGTAGTCTAATATGTGTGTTATATTTCTGCATGAGAATTGAGAACCTTTAATGAAATGTCAAAATCCAAACATACCAATAATGTCTGCTCCAAATCATTTGAGCGGACATCTTTAAATGCACTTAGAACATAATCAGAAGGTGACTGGCCAGTCATGAGCGGATTTTCCTGGAAAACAATATTTTTATTGTTTTTTTCCTCCTCCTGAAATGCAAAATTAAAAAATTTACAGCAACAACATTAAACATTACAAAACTAGATACAGAACAGTTTTCCTCAGCTATTTATTATCTAGCACATCCAAGCTGAATTGAAGATATTTTGTAATTATACATGCAAAAAAATAATTTCACACTAGAATATGGGATTTTGATAGATTTCTAATGGTGTTCCATGTTACTGAGCCTACTTTCTCAGGAGCTGTAGTTATTGCACGCATATTTCATCAGCTGAAGTAGATTGCCTGCGCTTTCAAGTTGAAAATTAATTTTGGAAATCAAAAGTTGAGATTTTTAGGGATAGCAGTAGGTAATTAATAGGTTTAATACAACAAAAAATGTTATAGTTTCACAGGCATCAAAAGGCTTAATGGAAAATTTGTTTGGGATTCATAGAGGATGGTTGGGACATTCGAATCTGGAACAGATTCTGCTTGTCAACTCATTCAAGATCAACCAAATTGATTTACATGTTTGGCAAATAAACGCTAATGCAATCACTTAAGTCAGATCTGTTCTCTATCATACAGACACCGTGACAGAAGACAAATGTATATATGTATATCTAACTATTCGCACATGCCCTGCAGATTAATTTACGAGATGATACATTTTAGAGAACAGAAACCCTCCAATAAAGATCGAGTATAACCTGATGTTCAGAAATGCGCTTTTTCTCATTTTCTGCAATGTCTAATCTCTCAATAATTAAGTCAGTAGCGGTAAGGGTTTCCTGGGTTTTTTTCCCGGCTACGGCCACAGCTCCCTCCTCTGGTATTTCTTCCTTCTGTGCATATTTGTTTTCAAATGCATTGTCAAGATCAGCATCAAACATTTCCTCTAACCTCTTCTCCTTTTCTTCCTGCAATTAAAATGGTTTATCATATACCAGTAAAATGATATTTTTTTCAACACATTATAGCAGAAGTGTACCTATTATCAATAAGAGTCTTACTAAAGTATATATTAATAACTTTAAAAGATACATTTTTCAACAAAAAACATTTCCAATTTTGATTCTGAGCAATGTCCTTCGGGCATTCATTCAAACTTCCCATTATTAGAAGGAATGTCCCTGTATACTGCATTAAAGAAGTATTGGTGTATCGCTCCATAACCTATAAGATATGTATACCTCAATGAAAAACTGCTCTTCAGTACGATCCCAACGGCGAATTGAACGGTCATGAGATCCAGTGACAATAAAATCACCACGATTACTGACAGCAAGACACCAAATATCTGCATGATGTCCTTCAAGAGTTAACAGCTGCTCAAATTTATCAGCATCCCAATATTTTACAACGCGGTCTTTTCCAACACTAAACACATAATGCGTCTTGGGAACAAATTGCACTGCCATAACACTGAAAAGTAAATTGCATAAGATACTTCAAATACAGCTTTATTTATTGCTCTTCAATGCATAAAGGAATTAAAAGATAAAAGAAAAATGATTATCATGGCAGAATTATGTAGCACCTGTCAGCATGCGCAAAAATGGATTTATGACAGTCACCAAAATCCAAACCCCAGATCTTTATATTCTTATCAGCAGAGCCAGTCACAATTAAATCTCCATCTGATGAGATATCCATACACAGAACAGGAAGCTTGTGGCCATACAAAGAAAGGAAGAATTTGAATGTGTCTACAAAGTGAATCTGAAAAATAAATAAATAACTCGTCAAAAATACTAGAAATAGTGTAACAAAATATAGCAAGATTGTAAGAGTCACTGCCAAAACAAGCTCATGGTACATACAGTACTAAACAATCAACTTTCAATAGAGCGCATGTAGATGTCCACCACACTTAGAAATTGGCATTTCCTATTAGATGTAGTATACGGAAAAATAAATGAACCATCTTGGATAAACTTCTAGGAAGCACTTACAGAGAAAAAATATTAAAAGAATTGTGTAACACTAATTTTAAAAATAGCAATTTCTCGAATAAATCATTAGTATCCTCTGCTTTAGTCTTAACTTTTTTTTTAAAAAGGCCTTTCATTTAATTTCACCATAAGTATCTATACATTTATCTAAAATGTAACTAGCAATACAGATTTTATAACGAAGATAACTCTCAATCCAACTATGAATGTCATTATCCATATCAGTTAAAATAGATGGGTCATCAGTTAAAATAGATGGGTTATAAAAGAAGTCATAAGAACGATGAACTTATTTTTATTGTCCTCAGTAAAGCTGTCAACTGATCCTGAATCACATATTATATTCCAAGAAAAAAACATCCAATGTAAGCTACAAGATTCAAACTCCAGTTAATTTCTACTCTAGTTTCACTCAATCTACAAAATAGAAATAATGCTGAAGTTCCCAAATTGCCAAACATACAGTAAGATACTTCTGCATTGAGACCATACACTCGGAAGGTTGACAAGTGGCAATAAAAACAACAAACAAAGTGAAACTTAATAAGAAAATGGCAAAATCACCTCAGGGTCCTTTAAGTTATTTAATTGTAACAAGTCAGTCTTTTATATTTTTTTCGCTACATGTAGTCCTTTATGTTAACTAACGCCTATATCGTTGACCATTTTTCTGCTTTATTTTGTTCTATTAATTTTATTTTAATTCATTTTTAACTTCTAAAATTCATATCAAATCAGTTTTTGGTCCAAAAATTATGAAAAAATTCCTAAAAACATTTCTTCTCACACTTCGTGTAATTTTCTGAGAATTTTATTTTCTGTTTTACTATTTTTCTTTAATTTCTTTCTTTTGTGTGCATTTTAATAAGTTTAAAAATATTTTTATGCACTAAAAAATTCTGAAAATTCTGAAAATATTTTTATATTGTCAAGTGACATATCAGCACCATTAGTGTCACTTCAATTTTTTTGGAAAGGAGCTTGGGAAAAGGATCAACCGTACGGGCGTTAATTAATATAAAGGACCTCACATGTAGCGAAAAAAACATAAAGGAATGACTTGTTACAATTAAATAACTTAAAGGACTCTGGGAGTAATTTTGCCTTAGAAAATTTAGCGAACCAAATATAGGAACCACGAACCCGAACATACTTACGCATGCACACAAGGCAAACCAAATATAGGAACGACGAACCCGAACATACTTACACAGACACACAAGGCAAACAGGATAGGGTTAATAAATCTGACCTTTACAGTACTATCTAACAGAGCAACAGCAATATATTTGGCATCAGGACTGATTGCAACCACAAGAACATCATCATTCATTCTCATAGTCTTGACATTTGAAAAAGTGAGTTGCTTAGTAGCCTGAAACAGAATGATTAGTGTTATTAAAATAAACAAATTGTTGATTTATAGATATTTTTCCACATATTAAGTAAGAACGGCTTATAGGTTATAGGTTATATAAGTAAAGCAAGAGAGAGTTGCATAAGGGGTGGAGGATAACTGCCATTCCCTCACACCCAAATAGTGAAGACTGAAGAGCTATGAAGCAAGGACACCTCTAGGAGGTGGCGTGTCGCGGTATCCGGAAAGTGTAGCGGTGTATAACAACCATATGACACGTGTCAAAAAACTCAAACAAGTGTCTCAAAAAATAGTTTTTTCTATATTTTGACACTCTTTGAATAGTGTCCGGCCCTCTAACACATGCCGGACAATTCAAACAAGTGCTTAAAAAATTAAAAATTAAAAGTATTTGCTTCAACACACCTTATATATATATATATATATATATATATATATATATATATATATATATATATATATATATATATATATATATATATATATATATCTTTGAAGAAGAATGCATACATTGCATGTAGTTCTTTACGTACTCTATAAATCTTGTACTCTATAAATCTTTGAAGAATGCATATGCAGAATGCAACGTACAAACAGCTTCATCCATAATCTTTGAAGAATGCATATGCAGAATGCAACGTGCTCTATAAGCTGTTTGTACGTTGCATTCTGCATATGCATTCTTCAAAGATTTATAGAGTACAAGATTTATAGAGTACGTAAAGAACTACATGCAATGTATGCACGTTGCATTCTGCATATGCATTCTTCAAAGATTATGGATGAAGCTGTTTGTACGTTGCATTCTGCATATGCATTCTTCAAAGATTTATAGAGTACAAGATTTATAGAGTACAAGATTTATGCAGAATGCAACGTACAAACAGCTTCATCCATAATCTTTAAAGAATGCATATGCAGAATGCAACGTGCATACATTGCATGTAGTTCTTTACGTACTCTATAAATCTTGTACTCTATAAATCTTTGAAGAATGCATATGCAGAATGCAACGTACAAACAGCTTATAGAGCACGTTGCATTCTGCATATGCACGTTGCATTCTGCATATGCATTCTTCAAAGATTATGGATGAAGCTGTTTGTACGTTGCATTCTGCATATGCATTCTTCAAAGATTTATAGAGTACGTAAAGAACTACATGCAATGTATGCATTCTTCTTCAAAGATATATATATATATATATATATATATATATATATATATATATATATATATATATATATATATATATATATATATATATATATATATATATATATATATATATATATATATATATATATATATATATATATATATATATATATATATATATATATATATATATATATATATATATATATATATTTAGACAAATCTCACAAGCATCTAAAAGAGTTAAACATGGGTTAAACTTAAACATGTGTTGAAACAATATTAATGAAAGAATAAAGACAATAAATTTGATTAGAATATTTTTAACTTTTTTCAAAGCTAAAAATATTCTAATCAAATTTATTGTCTTTAGCATTTCGTTAACATTGTTTCAACACATGTTTAAGGCTTGGTTGTTGTTGTAGAATATTTTTTAGCTCTTTTAATAGTAGATGGATAAATGAATGTCAAGTACTATCATATATGTAGCGGTGTGCTGGTGTCCTGTGTTTTTAGACTTTATCAGTGTCGGAGTGTCTGTCTCGTGTCTTGTCCCGTGGCCAAAGAGTTTTAAATTTCTATTTATGTGCCTAAATTCCAACTCTAGTTCTAGAGATCAAATATAAATCAGAAAAACTATTGCAGAAGAGTGTCCCAATGATATACTATACAAAAGATCTTCCATACTTCTACCTATGTTTTATCTGTGCAGTATATGAAGTGAAAAGGTAAGTTATTGTATTCCCTCATTAAAAAAATAAATACTTCATAAAATAGGGAATAATATGAAGAACGCACTTGACCAGGTTTTTGCTTAATTTGGTAGTCCCAAAATTTTACTTCGTGATCTGCACTTCCCGTTATAAAGCCAAGTTTATCCGGCAGAGCAGCAATTGTCCGCACAGAGCCTCCATGAGCTTCAATAACTTCAACACGAGTACCACTTCCGATGTCAATAATTTCTAAGGTTCCATCTTTAGTTCCAACAAGTCCGTACTTGTTAGTGGGGAGAATTAAACTGCAAAGCCCATATCCAGAATCAATGGTCCTTAAGCAGGAACCAGTGCTTGGGTTCCAGATCTTTACTGCATTATGACTGGTTGACATTAGAAAAGTGCTGTCTGAACTAAGTGTGACACTTCGAACATCAGAGCGGTGCCCCTGAAGATCAATACCAAGTGTTTTTTTGGTTTCACTGCTTTCAATGGAGTAGAACTCAATAAGATTATTGTTTAAGGACAATGCTAAAGTTCCAAATGAATTCTTTGGAGTGATTGGACAGAAAGAAATGGAGCATATCTTTTTGCTAGCTCTAATAGTATGCAACAATTTAAAAACATCAGGCACGGTAACTGTGATTTTACTTGTTTCTATGGGTCCATCATTCACAGTAGAATTATCTCCTTTGTTCTCATTACTCTCACCTCCATTTTCAGCTCCCTCTGCAGCCTCTTTACCATGCTTCTTCTCCTTTTTGCGGTTAACCCTACGTTTGGCTTTACGCTTTGCTTCGGCATCATCCAATACACGGAATATTTCTACCATCTTTCCCGCAACATGACATGCTAGCAGATTCCCAGACTTATTGAACTGGACAGTGGCAACTCTATCTTTGTTCTGCCGCTGAATCTCGCCAAAATGCGTCAAAACCTCCCATTTATTTGAAACAGTAGAATCTCCACCATCATTTACAGACTCTCTATCAACAGAATCTTGCTTAATTGTATAAAAACGAAGTTCCTTGTCCGCTGAACCGGTAACAAGATACCTCTCAGCAGGATCAACATCCAATGACCATATTTCACTGTGATGCCCCCCAACAATTTGCATACAATGCTGGGTATCAATATCCCACACTCTCAAAAACTTGTCTTTGGATGAACTAACTAGTTTTTTCCCAGAACCCACAAATACAACATCAGTCACCTGCCACAAATAAACAAAACTCATTTAACAAAAACTTAATTAAATGTTTGTTTGAATTGACTTATTTGACATAATCACTTGTAAGACAGTTTCAAAGAGCTAATAGAAACAACTTATAACATAAGCTCTCGAGTATAGCTTATGAAAAAACTTATAACTTATGAAACAACTTATAGCTTATATGAAAACATTATATATATATTTTATCTGTTGTTATAGAAATAACTTATACATAAACAGATAGTAGTATTATATGACGATCGCTTAAATTGAAATCTAAACTCAGCATTAGAATCGAACCTGATCGCGATGACCGCGAAGGCGAAAGAGACCGGTCTCTCCAACAACATCCCACAAAATAACATCATTATCTTTACTACCAGAAGCAAGTAACGAACCAGCCTTATTGTAACGAAGAGCAGTCACAGCTCCTTTATGTCCATTCAAAGTAGTCTCACAAGTTCCCTTATCAGAATCCCAAATCCTAATGCTACCATCACCATAACCTCCAGCAATCTACAACAACAACAAAAACAGTTAAAGGAAATCGTAAATTCACACAATAGAGAGAGAGAGAGAGAGAGATTTGTGACGGTGATTACCAATATAGAAGGGGAGGAGGCTATGGCGGTGACGGCGAGGGAAGGACCGCGACATGGAACGGAAGGAGTTAGGGTTTTGGTGCAGATACCTTGGCGGACGTGCCAAACTCCGATTTTCTCGAGAGCGGGAGAGAGAAGATGCTTGCCGGAGCTGTCGTATGAGATGTTGGAATCGACGGAGGCTATGACGCCGAAGGAAGCCGCCGGCTCGTAGCGGAGGTAGAGCTTCACCATTTTTGCTGCCGCAGTGAGGTTTATGCGTTCAGGGCAGGGTTTATGTTTCGGCGGGTCTTTTTAGTTCTTTTGTTCTATTCTAACCTTCGTAAACTAAATTTTAAGGTTGCTTTTTGCACGGATTCTATTTTATATATACACCCCCACCCTTCATTTGTTTATTTCTTCTGCACAAACGTTAGGCTGTGTTTGGTTTTATGCTGAAAGAGAAAAACGATTACTAAAAAATTGTTTAATGCATTTTTACTTAAATGTGTATACAAGTAAAAAAATATCACTTTTAATTGTCAATACTTTTTTAATTCAATGTTTGTTACGGTAAAACCAATAATACTTTTAAAATTAATATTTGTCACTTCATAATCAATCGCTTTATATTCAAACAAAATGCTTTGTTAGGATTATAAATAAAACTGAAAGTTATAGAAATGAAATTGAAAAAAGAATAGGGAATTTCTTTGTGCACCTCTTAAAAGTGGGACAAAACTCATGAAAATATGAAAATATCATTTGGAAATGTATCTCCAAACTCATTTCAAATTAAGATATTTCGGATATGTATCTTTGAATACACTCAAACTTTGAATTTTGGAAAGAATACAAAAATACACTTCTGAAAATACCATGTATCAAGCCAAACGTTAAATTTAAACATTCGGGCATATTTTCGGAGATGTATATCCGAAAATATGTTAGTTATACCACCTTGATGCATAAACTATTTCATTTTATTCATTTGCTTCTCATAACCAAAACTCTCACCAAAAACTCAATCTATTTTTCGTCTCCAAAACAAATTTCAAGTGTTTTATCATGTCAAATGGAGCATAGAAAGCTGCAATAAGGTAAACTTTCTTCATTTCATTTTTCAATTTCTTGCGTTGATGTTGATTTTTTAGATGAAAAACTGTGTTACTTCGGAAATGTATTTTTGAAACCCACCTAACCTATTTCGAAACTACATTTCTGAAACTGCCCCTGTTACAGAAACGGAATTATTAATTTATATGTTTTTGTCCGTGTTAGATATGGTGCACCCCGAGATGTTTCTCAAGGATGTTTCGGACAACGTGAATAATAATGCTAAGTCGAATGAGGTGAAGAACGACGTTCAATCGATTGTTGTCGACATAGATGTTGGACACCAATTTACAATTGATCAAGTTTTCAATAATCTGCAACATTTGTTTGATTGGATCCGAATAAAGCTAGCAAACTCGGGTTTGGTGTTGTGATTGGAAGGTCCGACAATGGCACTAGTGGAAGGCAATCATTTGTAACTATGAGATGTGAGAGAAGTGGAAAATATGTTCCAAAAGTTCGGAATTTAAAACATGGTGACACTGGATCGAGAAAATGTGATTGTGCATTCAAATTACACAGATAATGTAGGATGGATGATACGTGGCGATTTTCTATCATTTCCGATAAATATAATCATGTTTTGGACACCAAACTACAAGGTCATCCAATTGTAGGTCGACTTAAGTCGGAGGAGAAGGAAATAATTTTGGAAATATCGATATCAAAGTTGCGCCGAGAAACATACTTGCAGATTTGAAATGGAAATGAAGTGGGATTGAATTTTATTTTTCATGAAGCGAAGCGTGCGGATACAACGGGGACGGATAGTTCAAAGTGTGAATGTACAATTAGGAAAACATACGGTCTTCCATGTGCTTGTCTCATTTCTAAAAAAATGAAGCTAAATTCTCCCATACGTATGGACGAAGTCTACAATCATTGAAAAAGACTTTGATTTCATGACTATGGTTCTATGAAAGATGGTGCATTAAGTATTACCATCAAAACCAGTTGAAAGTGATCATGGATAGATATTTTAAAGCGGATGACACTATGAGATTGCACATTAAAGAACAACTGAGGAAAATCGCCTATCCATAAACCACTGATATGAAACCTCCTTCACAACCGGTAAAAACTAAAGGTGTCCCTAAAAAGTGTAAAAGTACACAAGATGACAATTCAACAAGGCGGACCCCGTCTTACCATGAAGTTATTGATTCACATTTCCCATATTCTCCAAGCCCAAAATTTCAAAAGAGTGTTTTCAAAGGAGCTCACATTTCCAAACCACCTCGTACACCGCCAATCAAAAAATCACCAACTCTACCGTCGATTATTCACATTAATGAGATATCAATTTGTATGCACAAACACATTGAAAGGATTGTAGATATGGGGGGACGGTAATTGTGGGTTTCAGGCCGTGTCTGGTTTACTTGGTAAAGGTGAGGATAATCATACTATTGTATGACAAACACTTATTTCAGAATTGGCGGCGCATGGGGAAGATTATGTACGATTATATGAGGGTATGGAATGTAACACCCCAAAATAATTAGATTATTTGTTTAATTATTTAGTTGATCTATGAGTAGTATTTGTGATGTATTTATGAGTATATGTGATGTTTTGATGTATATGATGTGATGTTATGTGTAGTATAGTAGAAATTAAGAGATATTAGGTATTTTAATAATTTTAGATAATTAGTTTTAATTATTTAGAATTATTATTAATAAGATAAATGGAAAATAAGGTGTGGGAGTGCCAAGGGTAAAGTAGTAATTATGAATGGATAAGTGAGGGTAAGATGGGAAGACCATAGAAAGGGTTCAAGGGTTAAACTAGAAAAAAGAGTGTCAGTGTTCATTCTGTGCAATCGTTAAAAGATAAGAATGTTGTGGAGAACTAGGACACGAAGAGGAAAAGAGAGAGAGAGAGAGAGAGATAATCATTTGTAGAGCTTGGGATAAGAATCGATTGCTAGGAGAATCTAAGGTAAGAGGAGTTATCATTATTATTATAATCGATAGAATGTTTAGATAATGGTAGGTTGTTTGCATTGGGGTTTTGATTGATGATGAAAATATGATGGCTTTGTTGATAAATGATGAAATTATGGTATTTTTTGCAATGAATTTATGCATATAATGTATAATAGGGTGTGTAGGTGTTGTATGATAAAAACATGAGTATCTGTGGTGATTTAGAACATGTTCTATGTTGGAATCACAAGAAATTGGGACTGGTGCAGTGCAGAAAACGCACAAGGAATTTACTATTCAGGTTGCCTCATCGGGCGAAGGCTCTTCTCCTAAGTCATGCTAGGCGAGCAATGAGGCGAAGAGAATGGGGAGGAAACAGAACCCCTGGAAAAATATATGGTAGAAGTGAACTCGCTCCAATTTCGTCGGGCGAAGCAGAGACGAGGGAACTCTCGTCGGGGAAACGAGATGCATCATCGGGAGAAGGAAGCAGAGAAAAACAGTGTCCCTGGAATTTGTATGAGGGAAGGTATTTTGCCCCATCCTCGTTGGACGAGCCTCGGGTGAGCAACCATCTTCGTCAGGCGAGAGGCAGTAGGCAGAATTTTGGAAATATCATAACTTGAGTTTCGGGACTCCATTTGACGTGTTATTTGAAGAGTTGGGTAGCTAATGTGATGAACTATAATTAGGTGGAATAAAATAAGAAAAAGTATGTGGATTTCTAGCACCTATGCTATGATGAAATTAGACTTCTCTATGATGGATTACAATGATGCATGCAATTTGATGAGTTGTTGATACTATGATGATAATATGTTATTGCTAATGATGATCTAATGATGTTGTTGTGATGCATGTATATATATGATGCATGTGATGACCTTGTTATGATTACATTAATGAATGATGCATTTTGACTAGCAGTGGTCATGTTTTATTACGTTGTTGTGTATCATGCATTCATGGCATATGTTAGGACTTCGGTCCAGTGATATTGTTAGGACGATTGGTCCAGTAATGATGATAGAATGTTAGTTCAATGATGGATTCAATCCTATAGTGTGGATTGAGTGTAATATTATGATGTTCTCTGGTTCTAATCGAGAATTTATCCTATTATTGGGGATCTTTGGAGAAACGATGATTGAGTCATCAGTGAAGTTTTGGTACCACAAGCATGAGTCTAATGAAGTTGTATTACATTATTTGTGGCATTGCATAATATTTGATTATGTGATGCTTTGTGAATGTGTAAATTAATGATGTTATAGTGATATTTGTTGACTGATGATATAATGATGTTATAAATGAATAATAAAGTGAACGTGTGAGTATAACATGGAGTCTGATGATGTATGGTTCATGGATGATGTGTTATAACTAATATATTTATTTCTTATATCTTTTATAATGATTATGATTACTCACCTTTTCTGCTTAGAAATATTGCCTCTATATGTGGGTAACTTGCAGGTGATCAGGAATAGTTCGTCAAAGCTTAAATGATAGCTTTGGAGTGCGTTGTTTATTTTCGTTGATTTTAGAAGTTCTTGCTCTGATATGTAACATCAGGGGTTGGGAACATTTGTTTTGAAACTATCAGGTTCCTTTACTTATTTTGAGATGATGTGTTACCTTTCATGCTATTCAATTGTTTGATTTATGAATCATGAACGATGAAGTGTGAGGAAGACTCTATGAAGTATTTTTAATAAAGATATTTTAAGAATATGATTTTGTTGTGATAATTTGAATATGATATTGATGATTTTAAAGAAATAGTTGCTCTAAATGTTTGAAAACCCATGTTACAGAGCAATATGTTTTATGTGATGCATTTGTAAAGATGTGACACCTTTGTTGGTGATTTTATTCGATTTAATTTCGTAAAATATATGCCAAATGTATGTGGGTTTAGAAGGGTGTTACGTTAGTGGTATCAGAACAGGTGGGTCCGTTCGACCAGGTTTTTCCTATGATGTGCATGTCTTGTTGGTCGATTAGTGCGAGTACATTGTCGATATGTTTTTTTTTTCTGACGTTACTTTTTTGTGCGTAAAATGGCTAGAAGAAATAATGTTGTGATTGTTGCTTCTTTGCATGTTGTTGCTCAGGCTGTGCAACACCAGCCTAATGTTGTCGGGAATGATGGGTCACTTTTTTTGGAGACATTTCAAATGAACCATCCGCCTATTTTCAAAAGGT